TGTCTTTCATAGAAGAAGACTTAACAGCGAGCGATTCTTTGCTCTGTGGTCTATGGAAATCAACAAACCAGAACCGTTCCAGATGCACCATCAACTAGTAAAATTATTGGACATTAACTCAAGATTTTTTTCACCGATCTAATTATTTCTACTTCACTGCTCAAATGAATAATTACTTAGTGATTACTCTGACAACCCGATTGGCTTAGCGAGTGGTGAACCCGCCTCTTGCGTCATAGGCTGTGAGTTTAAATCCCCACTACGGGAAAATGTTTTGCGATGTTAAGTGTTTTATCGCGTCTGTTTTTTATATATTTATAATGCGTATTTATTTAAAAGATAAAAGTAGATTTATCGGATAGCTAGTACCCACAGTACAAGCGTTGCTTATTTCGGAACTAGAGAAAAATGTGTCCTGTCCTGAAATATATTCCACATCACAGCATTTGTCGACAGATCGCGCATTTTTTAAGCTGTACAGCAACGTAACACGCTGTTATTTGTTGAACAGCGTGTTACGTCTTCTCCCAGAAGACCGGCGTGAAGTGGAAGTTATGCTTTTTCTCATCGTTTGGTGAATGAGATAACCGAGCTCCGATGTTTTTGAAAGCAATGCATGCGCAACTCCTAGCTATAGTAAATACCCATGGGCACCAGTCATCACTTAACATCAGATGAACCACCAGCTCCTTTATCAACTTTTCAATAAAAAACAAGATTATCCACTTCGTGATCTAAAGATGAGTGGAGATCATTTCGATCCATTTTAATTGTAGCTATTTTAGTTTTTAGTATCTGTAATCACCTTCATTATTTGAAGGGTTCGGTAACAGTCATTAAAACGCAGTGAACAGTACAACCACCATTTATCGACTGCCACATAAAACGGGGGCACGTGACGAAAACGTTGTATAATTCTACCGACATGAACCATACAGTATTTATTCTATTTTGTTATATACTAGCGGCCCGCCCCGGCTTCGCACGGGTGAAATGTACTATACATATAAACCTTCATCTTGAATCACTCTATCTAGAAAAAAAAAACCGCATCAAGTTCCATTGCGTAGTTTAAAAGATCTAAGCATACATAGGGTCAGACAGACAACGGGACGACTTTGTTTTATACTATGTAGTGATGTACCAAGTAAATGTTTCTTTCCAAATATCTATACCGTCAACCCGCCGAGATCGTTTTATGCGGACCGTACTTCGTACATAATCATTGCGCAGTAGGCGCATCTGCGGATAACAAAAAGATCTCGGCCAACTGAGGCCCTGCAAAACCGAGGCACGATCGGCTGATTATTTTATTGTTGCGCGAACCGAACGCCACCATTGTCTGACTTGTCCCATACGCCATCCGTATTATTGGCTAGATGTTATCGTGCTGTAGCACTATCTGTGTATTGCCTGTTCCTAACTTTTGCATGGCCGTGAAAACGTAGCTTCAATTTGCTTGGGCAAAGTACAAAAATATACCATACTGGCTTTACGACCGCGTCTTCGCTCGCGTTTTAGCCCTTAAAAAAATATCTTTCTTTAACCTTTCCACCCTTTACGACACTTTTTCCAATAAAAAAATGTCCTATGTCCTTTCTTAGGCTCCAGACTATTAGTGTACCAAATTTCATTTAAATCGGTTCAGTAGTTTTGGCGTGAAAGCGAGACAGACAGACGGAGTTACTCTCGCATTTATAATATTAGTATGCATAGTATGAATTAAAAACAAGTGACACTATATAATAAATTTGATCAAAACCCGGATTATTAAACGGTTTTATTTAGCCTGACCCGTACGGAATTTATTTGTTTATTTATTTGGGTCAAAATTAGAAATTGAAATTTAAGCGCCTTCCCGTTGTCAGATTGATCTAAAATTTGGTATACACATTTAATTTAGATGACAATACAATATTGTAGTTTTCAGTGCACATAAAATAAAACTTAAAAGTTTTTAAACGGTTTTTTTTTTCTGATGATAAATAGCAGTAAACTGGTTTATCCAATGCCTAATGTGCAATTGTTACAAATTAATTACGCACCCATTTGAAATGTTTATTTTAGGCTAGCTGATACTCGCTTCAATGCTTACTGTATCGATAACCATACACTCCACGGCAAGCAAAACAAACATCACTGACAACGCCGTTTTTATAAATATCATTTTTTCTTCAAATCTTCAATAACTTCAAATTAACTGAAGATATCACAATGATCTTAGATAAGGTGCAAAAGTCTAAAGAAGTGGAAAAAAATAGAATTAATCGAAATCTATCCAGTTGTCGTTTGGAGAATGTTGATCAAACTAAGTATAATTCTTCTTCTTTATTCTGCCCTCTTACCACCAGGGGTCATAACAACATGCGGATCATGTTGTTAATGGTACTAACTAAATCGTATACGTCCGTCTGCATGGAGCAACCTTCTAGAGAGCAAACAATAACGATTTATGCTGACAAGCAATTCTTTTAATTAGACTGTTTCTATAGACATCCTTACTTCGCGTTTAGATTATACTTAAGCCGTTAATTTTAGCAGTGCTCTCTTATACGTTATATCTAATTTGGTCTTTAACTGACCTCATGTAATATTAATTTTGACTTGCCTCAACGTTCTTGTGAGCAAACAAACACGATTTATAATGACGAGTAATTGTTTACATTAGACTGAATTCTAGTCTTCCTAACTTCGCTATTAGATTGTATTTAAACCGTTTATTTTACCTGTGCTCCCTTATATTTCATATGAAAGAAGAAAGAAATAAAATACACTACCCGAAAAAAGGGACGCACACAATAAAAGAGACAAAAAATGATATATAATTTGTTCCGTAACTGTCTTCCTATATTAATCGCGACTATAAAACAAGTGTTTATTTATTTTATATTTTTCGGCAACTTTAACCTGCAACTCTAATCTTCACGACACAAATGACAGGCGAATCTTTTTCCATCATAACTGACACCAGCTGCGAGAGTAATCGGCTCTCTTAAACACCAATAGGATTACGAGTATTATGTTCAACGCCATTGGTCAATATTTCGCGACACAGCGTCTTCCAGCTCCAGTGTGTACGCGGCCTTAGACTAGACATTGGGGATAATCGGCGTTTGTCTCCGCTAATTAATAACGACGGGGCCCCCGGCTCGAGGCAACGACGGCATTTCCCACCGGACAAAATAATTAACTGCTGAATGCATCTTTAGCTAATGCCCTATTACGGCGACACTTGGGAATAAATCCCGGCCGAGATGTCCCTCTAGGAAAGGTCCCATTAGGGGGCAAAAACTCATTCGCGGAAGAAAGGTGTTGCATTCGAAACATAGGAGATTTTAGAAGATAATGACAATGCTACGCACTGGTTTTTTTTGCGTTAATTCGTATTGTTTTTACTATCTAATAATTAATAATGATAAAATAACATTTATTTATTTATTGATTGTAAAAAATAAATTAAATCGATTGCTGTGTAAATGCTTTTATATTATATTTAGATAAGTGGTCGGTGTATTTTTTATCCAACTTCAAAAAAGAAGGAAGGTTCTCAATTCAACTGTATTTTTATTATGTTTGTTACCTCACAACTTTCTACCGGAGTGAACCGATTTCATGATTTTTTTTTATGTGAAAAGTTGCCAAACGAGCAGACGGTTCACCTGATGTTAAGTGAATACCGCCGCCCATAGGACATCTGCTATACTCGAGGGTTACAGATGCGTTGACAACCTTTCGAAAATTGGGCTCCGGCTACCTCACTCACCAGACGAAACGCGAAAGTATTTGTCATACTTCCACTTTACGCTGATTATTTTTTAGTACCCGGAGGACCGAGCTTTGCTCGGTTTGTTTTTTTTTTTTTTTTTTTAAATCGTGTATTTTGGTAATTACATTTAGATACAAATTACTGAGTAATGAAATTATGCATAATATTTTTCGATCTTACCGACGTAATAATAAGAAAATATGAACTGATGTTTTTCACAATAGAAAGAACTTTAAAAAAAAGGGAAAAAAATAACAAAATAACAAATCGACAAAAAATTAAAAATAAAGAAAGCAATGATCTGGAATCGAAAAAAAGTAAAAAAATAAATGTGTAAATGATCGTGACGCGAACCACGGCCGTCTGTTTTGGGGCCGCCCGATTACCGACCGAGCTATTATGACATTTTCTCTTGCGGCGAAATTTACCGTCATATTCGAATTATATTTTTCATTCCCTGAAAACAGGGATAAAAGGACATTTTCTAAAAATGAAACCTAGCTAGATTGATTTTTCGCCCCCGAATCTACGCACATACTAAATTTCATGAAAATCGCTGGAGCCGTTTCCGAGATTCCAATTATATATATATATATACAAGAATTGCTCGTTTAAAGGATAAGATTTGTAAGCTGGTGCTTCCCATGCGGTCCCATATCAATTTCATTGGTATTTGATCTTTAGCTCTGGTGATACTTAATGAAATGCTGAATATCATATTGTTTTCTTGATTTTACGCGAATATTATACATATTAAGTGGAACTACTTTACGGATTTTATCGCATTTTTTATTTTGAACGCTGAACGCTTTATTATGAACGCTGGAAGGGGTTTGAAACGTCGGGAATTTAAATCAGAATAAAAAACGCGATAAAATCCGTAAAGTAGTTTCATTAATATGTATAATATCAATTATAAAATTAATACAGAGCGCAATATTTGAAGTCGGTTTTCGTTAATAAAAAAAAATGATTCAATTTAAATATCGTAACTGCCTTATTACTCATGTGATACACTATGCAGTAGATAATTGATCGAACAAATACTGTACTTCGTCGAATATACCGTTTCTAATACCTTGCAACGTTCACGGTCACCGGCAGGCTGCGGTGTTAGACGGTGTCATTGTCAACCGACTTTACAAAAGAAGGACGTCGTCAATTCGGTACAACCGATTGGTTTTTCACCTCAGATATCCATCACTTGTAAACTGATTTTAAAAATTATTCTTGCATGCGGTTCGCTTCAACTCCCAAGTGGTACCACGTTTATTTCATTGATAATGGACCTGAAGACTCTGGGACTCCTCAAAATCAAATAGGAAATTCGCAGCGGGTGAGATATTTGAAATCGGTTTTTAATTTTTATTTTTGTTAATAAATGTACTTGTGTATGGCACAATTACTCGAACTTTCATGAAAAATAAAATGAATTCTGTCCATCTTTCGCATTGCGTTACTAGTCGCGGAACAACTAGCTGGCAATAAGTTGTCTCCAGCTATGTCCCTGGAATTTCCTGAAAAATTTTTAAAGCAACTACAATAAAATAGAAAATGTACACTGAAGTCGTTTTTTTTTTGTACTTTGTATCTTGCAACAGCTCGGGAACGCTTATTACTGTTGTCAATCCATGTCTCCCTTTCAGTCGCCTTTTACGACAGGCAGGGGATACCTTAGCTAATCTACGAGCCCGAGTCTACGGGCTGGAAACTAAATTACAAACCTTTAATTGACAAATAAAGGAGAATATCGTTACGTACGTGTAAAGCATAACAGTTTACGGAGCATTCTGTCATTTTCAGTTTGCCATAAACAATGTGTAGTTTATTTAATTTGGGTGATTTAAAATATTTAAGAAGCTACAACATTTAAAATTTAAAAGTTTTAATTTATGCTATGAAGAAAATATAATAAATATGTATAAGTTAGTTTGGTAAAGGAACATTTAAAAAGATTTCTGATAACAAGTAGCATAAACAAATAAGAAAGAGTATATGATTTTAATTAAATTTCAGTAATCGCAACGCAAAAAAACATCTGCGCTGAGAACCGCGCTTTCGCGACGGTTGTCTTCACGCCGTGGGTCGAACAAAGGAGATAAACACCAGATCTCTCGGCGGCTGGGATAGAATAAAAAGCAAGCGAATGACGTCCCGAAAACAATACAAACAGACACGGCTAACCGAACCCGCTGTCTGTCGTCGCGGTCGCTTTATAACTAGCTATATCGCCCGCCCCGACTTCTCGTGGGCAACCGAATCTAAGTTGCCATAACGTAAATATTTTTAAAATCAAATGTAGTGCTTCTACCATGGTAGGGCCACGCCACAGCGTCTGCTGTGGCACTAATGGGCAGGCCGCCGTGAGGTTGAAGTATAATACCTTCGCGTTTCGTCTGGTGAGTGGGGTAACCGGGGCCTACTTATTTTAAAGGTGGTCAAGCCCTCGGGTATTGTAGATATCCAAGGGCGGCGTTCACTTCACATCAGGCGTACCACCTGCACGTATGACACCTTTTCGCGTGAAAAAACAGTGCAACGATTGTCAGCAAACTCCTTTAAATAATACGACAGTCTATCAAATTTTCTAACAGAAAAAAATGATATTATTTAAATAACGTATTTCACTATACATCTATACATATCTTTTATCACTCAGAGATTATCTGGTTATATATAAGTATATTCTTTTATTTCCAATTTTGCCCGCAGTTCCTGCTATTACAGACAAACAAACAAACTTAACCTCCTCCAACATTAGTAAGGGACCATAGTTCAGTGCCACAGTGCCACGCTTTTATAGACCGCCGAGTCACGACGTATCTCCCGGGTGCCCGGCCCTCGATAAATCCCACTTAAGCACCGAAAGCCCCACCTAACTAAGGGATTGACTCATAACCGTATCTCCGGATTGCTGTTGAACTCACGGATAAAGTATCATCTCGCCCGCTATTAAATTCCCCGCAGTTATTAAACGGTACTTTAGTTGTCTGCGCTGCTTTTATACGAATCTATAAGTCCACGGCTCGAACCCAGCTCGAGCACCACTAATGGCTTAATACAGGCGAATCACGAGTGAACCACGAACGTATTTATATGGCGGTAATTGGATTTATCCTGTTTAAGATCACCTTATCCTTCTCTAATCTCGAGTGAAACTCCGACGTACTTAGTAAGAACTTGCAAATTAATTGTTGTCAATAATAATATATTGATGACTCCATTGTGCAGTATGGACTTCGGTGGAGTTGTGGGTTCGATTCCCACATGGGTCAAATATTTGTGTGACCCACGGATAATTGATTCGAATCTGATTGTTTGTTCACGTGAAATTTATGTCTGTATAACGATCCTCACAACACAAAATAATGTTACATGCATAAATATATTATGCACTAGCTGCTGCTCGCGACTACGTCTGCGTAGAATAGGCTGAAGGCGTAACATTCAGACAGAAAGACAGATTTACATAAAACATCTTTATAAATTTTAGTCTATGTCTTATTCTGATGTATAAGCTATATTATTGTAAAGTTTCATTAAAATCCATTCGGTAGTATTTGCGTGAAAGAGTAAAGACCCATTTACACGGTGCAAGTTTCTTGCCTGTTGTATACAATTAAATTGAAGCAATAAATGAGTTGCATGGTCTAAACAACAAATGGTCTAACAAATTATTGCGCGCAATTTATTGCATTCAATTATTGCTCTTGTATGTACAAGAAAATGGCATCGTGTAAATGGGCCTTAACAAACATTCATCCATACATACAAACTTTCGCCTTTATAATATTAGTAAGGATGTACAACCAAAAAATGAGAATAAACATGAAATGAAACATTTTTATCCGAATTCAAAAGGAGGAGTTTCTATTTCGACTATTTTTTTATATGTTCTTTTTTTATTTGATAGCTGGTGCTTTGCATCTTTGGTATTGGATCTTGGTCTCCGGAGATACGTAGGGAACTCCTGAACATCAATTATAAAATGAATACAGAGCGAAATATTTGAATTCAGTTTTGTTTTTCGTTAGTAAAAAAAATAGTTATTGATAAAAAAATAATCATTATCATTTATTATAAATTAATTATCATATAAATAAAATAGTGATTATATTAATTTATCATAATCATAATTTATGAATGAAGATCATAAAATAAATAATAGTCAATAGTCTATAGTTTTTTTTATTCAATACTGGCCAGCATTGACTGCTATCCCACCTGATGATAAGTGGCGACGCAGCCTTTGATGGTACGTCAATGGAACAAAGCACAATTTCTATTACTACAAGTTAGTCTCTAACAATTTTTGGATAAATATCTCAAATGTGGCATAAGATTGCAGTCTATGTCCGTGTAACACAATTTCCACTATGCCTTGACTCAGGGCGTGAATGCCAAAGACGTGGCTTCGGTTCCCGCAGCGGCGAAAAGTTTTTCGTACTTTTTTCTACAAATTTTAATGCCTTGACTCTTTAATGTTTATATTTAGTAAAAAGGTATTTTGTTTAATTTCAGAGGGATGGAAACTGAACATTTGAACTAGTGAAGACAACACAAACCCAATGATTGTTTAAACCTCCAGCTAGATTCGTCACCAAACGAAACACGAATATCCTCTAAATAATTTTACTTCAGGCTCAACTTCTATGAGGTCCTGATAGATTTCCTAAGATTCCTCGGTACTAGCAAAATCCGCGCAGCAGGCGCCGGTTTTAAGCTCATCGTTAAAAAGCGTCAGGGAGTGTTTTTCGCCAAAAATAAATTTAATTTGAAGGTAATGAATATAACTTTTAAATTATATCTTTAATTTATAAAGTATATTTCTCTTCACTGGTTGTATCCATCAAAAATAACTACTGAAGTTACTGAAACAACTTACGTTTTGGAATTACAAACAGCATTCTACGTATCACGACAGTGAACATGCCGACATATTTAAAATTATTTCATCAAAGAAAGGAAAAACTATCATACTTATCACCAATCTGTTTTACAATAGCAAAAAAATATTGTCATTACTATCTTTTCTTTTCAACATAGGCACAGACATAAAAACAACGTTTGTGACTCAAATCACTAACACAACCAGTTAGTTTATAACAATCGCTCATTAAAAAGTCACACATTACACACCTTTACGCCCTGGACAACTGTTACGCCCTGTACTTCCGTCGGTTCACAGGCGATCGCAGGCGTGAAGGTACCATATTCCAGTGGCTGTATAAGGCACGGGCCAGACCCGGCGACGCCGGACCCCAGGGCCCGCATACCGGGCCGCAATAGATCCCGCGACCCGCCGTTTCCCACCGGCCAACTCTGAACTAGAACTAGACGGCGTAAAAACTCGAGCGTCATTAAAGGCGTCCACTCAACAGACCGGCCGAGTACGAGTATCTTTGGCACGGCAAATTCACGTATGGCAGTCGCGGGGAATTAAAACTGTCAGCGCGATACTCTCGTAGTATGTTAGATGCCGTTAAGTTTTTTCACAGCGACGTGTTCCGGACGCTGTGATGTATCCCTCATGTAATGGCATCCGTGTAAACTGTGTAAGTACATTAAATTTTAATACAGAATTATGTTTTGCATATGTTGTATACTTTTTTTGAATTTAGTATTTTAGTCAATGAGCCGTTGGTTCATCTGAAGATTTGTCTTCTCTCACTTTTGGGACTCAATATAATCGGGAAGAACCGGATTCTACTTACATCGTTAAAGGCACGATACTTTCTGTATTTCTGTCCTAATAAACGTCTGCTTTGTGGTAGAGCCACAGCTTTTGCTGTGGTAGAGCCACAGCTTTTGCTGTGGTAGAGCCACAGCTTTTGCTGTGGCACGAATGGCCAGGCTCTTTAGGTATTATACACAGGTACAGTATTTTTAATGAAAAAAGGCAAACGAGCAAGCAATCACGACACATGAACATTCACAACACCATAGCAGATCGTTAAGCGGAAGTATTATACTGTTGGGTTTCGTCCGGTGTATTAGCCATCCGGGGAGTCCCAATTTAAAACTATAATCCCACAGATAATATAGATCCCATGGGTGGCGGTATTATTACCACGGTAGAACCACCGTCTCATTTGAAAATACAGTTTACAGTTTATCAAGCGTGTCTTCATTTATATACTGCTGAAGTTTAACACGAAACTTAATTTAGTAACGCAGACACGTGTATTAAAGGACGGGACCCTTAAGGCATTATTTAATTTAGGCTGAAAATAAGAGAAAGGCCGGCCAAAAAGCGGGCAGCGTTTATAAGCTTCGGTCGCGAGCCGCGTCGCATTCTAATTAGGTCGGCTTTTTGCCGCGCGGCAGCGTGGGAGCGAACGGTGCGGTGTGCACACACCCTTATCCACGCGTTGTGACCTGAACTATATGTTTCACCCTAGATCTCTCGGCCTTTTTCTGTGGTTACGGAAGCCCGTAAGAGATACCTGCATCCGGACGAGAAGATAGTGTTCTGTGTATCTGTTAAAAACCTAATGATCCATCTTTATCTGGAAGACTCGAAAGTTGCGATAGCAAATGTCCGTTTCCGATTTCATGTCAATCAATTTACGGATCTCGTGTCATAAACTGCGCTTCGATGCAAAAAAAATTGGAAAATTCGCGAGGAAACTTGCCCTTTATGAGGTCTGTGCAAGAAATTTCGATACGGATAAAAAAAATCGGCGACGATGTAATAAACAACCGGGTCGAGGTTTCGCCACACCCTACAAAAACGGATCGGCAGGCGACAAACAAGCCGAAACAACGGTCAAAAAATAGCGCGCTAAATCGAGCGGACACTTTGGAAATTATAATACTCGAATGCGTCGGAATTCGGTTGTTATAATTTCCAACACGGACGATGCACTATTTTTTACAGGCTATGCTTGCAGTGTTGTGACTGCCATCCGGCCCGATGGTAAGGTAAAAAGTCCCACAGTTGTCCTTCAAGGCACTATCTCTAATCTGGCGTTAAAGTTTGGTTTAAGCGGGCGCGTATAAAAGAACGACATAGAATATTCAGGTTTCAGACATTTCACTAAAGCCAAATAGAGAATGAAGATGTAAGAATGAAGTTAAGTGAACTATTTTGAACGGTTCTGACTCATTTGAATACCAAATTGAAATTAGACAGAAAGATGAACTGATATGACCAGTATCAACACTGTACCTAGCTTTTACATTCCTTCCGTTGAGGTGGTCAAAGCAGCAAAAGTGCATCTTGGACTCGTATAAACAGACTCGCTTCTCGGTCCTTCGCCACTTAAAATTGACATTCACTTAGAGGCAACACGCACTAATTCAATATAGGTGCTGGGAAAAAATGGACTCCCTCGAAAAAGCGCGCGCGGCCGTAAATTGTGAGAGGCGTTTTTTCGTCTTGCGTGTTTCGTCGGCGGGTCGCCACTTTTTTCTGGCCGCAACACGTGCCGATTGGCGGGTCCGCTTCACGCTCTCGGCTAGCTTTTTGCTGGCGATTTGCCTGGAGATCGGTGGCCGTGGTGGTATAATTCCACAATGGTGGTAACTTACGGACTAATGTACTAATTGTTTATGTGAAGTTCGCCATTTCATGAGAACGCGCAAGCGTCTATTTGAATAAAGATGTTTAATTTTAATTTTAATGTGATGGATAAGAAATAGAGCCGATATGTTAATCGGCTCCGAATCGGATGTATAGACACCAGAAATTTAGCAAGAAGCATCAATATTTCTGTAGATACATTGGTATCTGGTTGGCGAAAGAGGTAAAATTTGTTTGTCTCAATTTAATGGTTAATTCCCGTAACAAACCTATAAAAATACAACCTAATGCACAGCTAATACTGAGGCGCGGGGAAATGTATTCAAGTAAAGATAACTAAGTAAAAAGTATAATGTTCGTATGCCTAGTCCGAAGAGAAGCTGAAATATATGATAGATACCATATTGCCTAAAGTATATTAGCATGTTAAACTGTAAGGGAAAAATATTAGAATAAGCTAAACGTCCCAGCCACGTCATAGTATAAGAGTTTAGTGAACATGGTATTTCGTTTGATATATAGAACAATTTTGTCGAATAAGGTATGGTGAAAAATGAAGTGCACAATGACGTTAGTTTGGCGAAATCCGTAACAAGACATTAGTAATAAAGGTTACATATAGTACTATTGAGTAGTATCCTTTTCATTGTAATATTAATTAACCATTTTAATAGTGAGATAACGATTACGACCTAGGATCGGCATTAAGTAATCACATCAAAATGATTCAACATTCGCCCGCTCGTTGTGTAATTGTAAAAGGAATAGTGGGTCGCACGCCGGGGCATGCTATCGGGGCATATCAAATGTTACGTAGCCTAAACGACCCTTATTGTCGATCCGTGAGGCTGACGCTTCAGATAAACTCGTAAACTTCTTAATATACTAAAATATGCCGTTTCATATTCCTAATATCAGCGTACAAATCAGTTGGTTCAGCTGTTACGACATATGAATTTGTCCTTTGTGCATTTGCATCCTGGTAATGCAATAAAGTTAGTCGTCTTATGTCAGCGACAGCAGTGTTTCAATGTTCATATTTTTAGATCAATTCTATTGATTAGTTTACCAATCACATTGTATATAATAATATGATTTTTTTTAATTTTGACTACACGATTCAAGTCTTGGGATTTTTTTTAAAAATTTGAAACATGTGGGTATTTAATTTAAAAGTTTTTTTTTTTTTTTTATTATTGATATTTAATCTTTATTGATCTAATATTTACAAGATTAAATCTATCTAAAATTACATATTATCTAATAAACCTAATCCACGCGGCATGGTGCCAAGAACGCTAGCTGCATTTCCTCGCTGAATAGTTATGCTCAACCTTTGCGCGAGAAAAGAACCAGCTCTCTTGTCACCAGCCGCGGCGTTAAGCCTAGGACATAAACTTTTAAAAAAATTTGATGTGCGGGGACCCCACGGACCTAATGTTTCAACAGCAAATGGCACAAATACATAATCTGAACATAAAGACTCATATTTGCGCCATTTACTTACTTCAGCTGCCTCCGATGCCGCCCCGGCCCTGACCGAAGTACCCCTTAGATGAGAGGCAGCCAAAGTGTCTACACAAGTGGCGTCCCAAACAAGGGCTTTGCCTCTCTCCCAAGGGATCAATGTTAAACCGTCGGGTCTCTTACCATCGTCGCGTAAAATGCCACAGGGCTCTAAAATAGATGGAACATTGATGGAAACAAGAGCCCTACGGATGATGTCGTTCAGGGAACCGTGGCGAGAAAAACGGCCAGCACTTTTTTGACAAGAAAGCCCGTGGAGACCAAATTTGTCTACACTGACACCACAAGGGCATTGGTGTGGTTGACAAATCGGTGCCCCCAGACGGATTCCTACAGCAATGCGTAAGCTTTCATCGTCAAGTAATGTGCCCAAGTTACTTGATGGTAAAGCGTGAAGCCAATAACTCGATTCTTTAGATGAGACTCCTAGGAAACGGGCACGCTCTAAATTACTTTCTAAAGATTGAAACGTATCTCTCTGTACTCTCCGCACCAAAGGAACATCCCACTGTTTTTGTAGGTTTACTTCCAGTGGGATATTTTCGTTGGGACAGATAGACAGCCAAGATATCCTTGCCTCCTCTGCATAGGAAAGTTCTGAATCATGATTAAGGATGTTATTACATAAATTATTTACGCTATGCACGGAAGCAAGGAAGGCAGGTAGAGCGACACTAGAAATTTTCCTTACACCGATACCACCAAAACGAATTGGCAGCGTAGCTTGAGTCCAGCTTAATTCATTAAGAGATAAATTTAGAATTTTTTCTAGAGCTGATTTAAGATGGAAATCAATTTCGTTCAAAAAGTCACCGCATTTCCAAACTGGACTCGAGCGAAGGAGGTACGTAAATTTAGGTACAAGAATACAATGTCGCAAAATAGTAAGCGCAATATGCGAATTTAGTAAAAACTATTTATTGACATGATCTAAAAATTGACTTAACTTTAATTTTAAATGAGGTTTCAAACTTGGTATCAACAAAGGAGCACCTAAGAGGTAAAGTGAATCTGAACGGACTACGTTAATTCCCGGTATGATAGAGCTAAAATTTTGGGTCAAAATGATTTTGTCGGAAAAAGAAATCTTTTCGGAAAAGAAAAGTTCGCATTTGGAATTATTTAAATCGAGACCGATATTTTTAAATTGTCTAATAATTTCAATAAGATCACTTTGTACATCGTCAACTTTACCTCCCAGAGTACCATCGTCTAGGTACCAGACATTAAGTTTAGATTTCAATTTTGAAATAATTGGATTAATTCCCAAACTAAATAATGCTGGTCTAGCGGATCTCCCTGCTGAACGCCGACAGCAGAATCAATAATATGGTTTTCATAAAATAAATTACTCTTTTCACTGTAACATTGCCAAACATAGTGATATATTTCTGGTGTATGGTTAGCCACTTCGTTCAGCAGAGTCGTTCTATCAATGGAGTTAAAAGCATTCCTTAGGTCAACCTTCAGAAGTACATCCAAATCACTAGTATTTAAAGAAGTTCGAACGGAATGTACAGTCGCTTCACAGCCGCCTTTGCTTCCAAAGCCTAGTTGAAAAGGCTGGAATTTTCTTTTAAGGCCGGAGATTATGTGCCTACATGCTAATTTTGAAGTTAAGCGTCGAAAGGTAGAACCAATAGCAATAGGACGGATACCATTATCTTTTTTTTTAAAGGCACATAATCTTGCCCCGTATAAGAAAGGAACAAATTTAGGATTTACTTTTCCGGAAAGCATTAAGTTGCATAATTTGGTAATATCATTAAGAAGCGCTCTGCCAGCATCACCGGCGGAAACGCTTACAAGATCTTTCAGATGTTGTGGCGTTATACCGTCAATGCCGCCAGCAGAGCCACTTGAAAATGACATAATTGCCTCGAAAGTGTCTTTATCGGTAATTTGCAAAGCCTGATATGAAGAATCGGGAGGCAGCGGTAGGAGCGGCGGAAGATTGATCGATGGATGCTTTTGTCGGAGGTTTTCTAGAGTCTCATCATTATACGGAGCAAGGATGTCGTCTGAAAATAAAATGCGCGATGCATTTTTTAAATCACCATCCATAACTTTAGTCTCTACTGTTCTCTTTAAATCGAATTTACGGGGGGGTTTAGTTATGGATGAGGCAGTCTTTAATTCAACATTTTTGAATGAATTGCTCTTTAACTGAGAAGTAATTGATTTTGATACCGATTTATCAAACTGAAAATGGGAATACGCAAAGGTAAATAAATTATGCCAACTAGATTCAGTATTTGAGAAACAATTTTGAATACAGGTTGATAATGACTTGGCAAGCTGCATCCTTGCACATCTTGGAATCCTTTTGAGTATTGGTACATTGCTATGGTAATAATAGATCTGTTCCGAAAACAACTTTAAATTTTTGTCATTATAATCGCTAATAGTCTTATTACAAAATGCGGTGGGCTGTGAAGCAGCAACAGGGTGACTATGACAACGTTTGATGTGAATATTTAAGCCTCTTTTACCTTTAAAAAGCCTACCGTCGGAACAATTTTGACATGGTAGGAAATCCGTTTGAGAGCATGTACGTACATCGTTATTCATAATATTAAAAATCACCCTTGAAAAATTAAAATAAGGTCACTAAAAGTCACTAAAAGGCACGACGAGGAAGCCTCGCGACGACCACCATTGGCTCTTAACACGGCAGCGAGGCGTGCACGTGGAAGCTGAAAACAAATACAAATACATATCTGGGGCGACAAATTAGGTTAAAATATAAGAATTATTACAGTACTCCCCAGGTTTTAATGCAAAATCCAAGACAACATATTTTCAAGCGTTTGACAGCTGACGTTCCTGACTTCGATCGCAGAGAATTTGTTTTCGTTGGCCGCAAAAATATACTGAAATGCAAAATTTATTTCTTAAATCGGAGTCTTTGAGATTTTAAAACTGAACTTTCATCGGTTTTAGAGCCAAATTTGGCTTTAAAAATGAGGAATAAGAAAAATTTTGAATACGTAGCTTTGTCACCTTGACAGCTATTTAATTATAAGTGTATTTGTTTACTGTTCCATTCTGCTGCAGATATATCTTTGGATCAAATCTTTCGCGCTATTTCTACTGCAAATAATAGTTTTCCCGTTTCGCATGTATGTATTACACATGCACTGGATTGTCGCCAACGCGTCAGATACCTCCTACGACGCTGTGCATTGCGCGCAACATATCAGTACCATCATCTCGCTTTACTGCCCTTTGAAGTTAAGTAGCGCGCGCATTCCTTGCTTCTTTCCCAGCCAGCGGAGCGAGGTTTTCTTACGTCGCCTTATGTACATATAGATTTGAATTAAAGACCCTTTTTCGACGGTGCGCAACCCCCTTTACTGCAAACAGCCCATTGTGGGGCCCACAATGGCGGGGACGTTAGCTCATTGCAGTTTTTCCTTCAACAACTTTATCGAAATCAATGGGTCGTTACGCTGCCCCTCCCTGCCCCCTCTGCGTTGGACGAGGCGCGAACACTGCTGCCAGCCGACGCCCGGCAAAAAGGCCCGTTTTAATTGCGCCCAAAACCGAAGCGCTTGACTAATCGGACCTTATCCGCGGAGGGAGCTCGAAAAAGCCACGCTTTATAAAACTTTTTTGGAAGTATCCCTTGATTTCTGCACTTGATGAGACAGCGACGAACGGGAGCCTTGAAGGAAGCACTTAAGGTCCTATTTCGCTTGCACGCACTTTTTCACTTAACGTCTGTACGGTGAATAAAATTTCATGGGTCCAAGCCGTTTGAATTCTATTCTCATTAGAAAGTAAAAGGATATTTCTTTTGTTCGAGTAACATAAAGACTACTAAACAGCTAAAATGTGTATATAAATATTTTCTGGTATTTACTCAGACATAAAATGTCACTGTCAATGCTAAAGCAAATCAGCATGTCTAAGCCAGTTTTTCACCCAGGTTTCAGATAAAGAAAAACGGAGGATCCAGACAACGATCTCTGGACTAAAACTATACGTTCTTAATCCACTAGGGGCAGACAGAGATCTTGTGTAGTCAAAATAATTAGTTATGATTTACAGTCAGATAGTATATATACCGATACACGATTCTCCTCTGATATCGTTCTGTAAATGTACAGGATTCCTCAACCTTACTGTTTGCATATATTAAATGTTAACTACTAAAAATATTATGTGTATGATCAACATCGATAAAGGGTCATAACGATATTCATATACAGGTATCCATATCCTTTCTTTCAGGCTTTTTCGCTCACGGTCACGCTGAACACGGAACCTTAACTTAGATATAACGAATGGAATAATTTCGCTCATTACATGGGCTCTTATTACGTGCAGTCCGTCACGCACCGCATCGTCCCCGTAGACTCATCCGCCGAACTTTGCAGTCGACGTCCCCAGCAGCGTTGATTCGTTTTTAATATCGCCCGAAATTGGCCCGAAATTATCGAATTTACGCACGTCAATTTCATTACGCGCGCAGTTTGGCACGCCGCAATTTGTTTTAATCGGAAACGGTGCAAGCGAAATTGGTCTTAATGCTGACTGTCGCGGGAACGTTAAGAGAGTTGAAAACGCAAGTGAGTATCTAAGGTGGCTCAGGATTGTGCTTCGTGGCAGTCTGTGGAGGAGGCCTTTGTTCAGCAGTTAACCCTAACGAGCTGAAATGATGGTGATGATGAGTATCAAAACGATGATAACAAGACTATTTGGCGACGGGGTTAACGGCAAAGTCGATTAGCGATACGTACATACGTGCTCCCTAGAATAAGAACACATCAAACGATAAAGACAGAAACTTACAAAAGTTCGTAGCTTTGCTATAAATGAACCTCCGTTTCCCATCGATATTATAAACACAATATGCAAAATTAAGCCTATTATTTTATAAAGCAACTATTTCCGTTTAACCCACTTGGCTTAAAATTCTTGATTACTACCGTAAATGTCTCAATGTGACTTAAAACGGCGAATGATTTGGGCATTTTTTTATTTTCGGAGATATATTGTATTCTGCACGAGGTCAATTGGTTTAGACGAATTGTCGACTATTTTTTGATATCATTAATTCACAAATGCCTGTAAGAATTTTTTTATGTGAAAAGTTGCCAAGCGAGCAGACGGTTCACCTGATGCTAAGTGAATACCGCCACCCATGGACATCTGACGCCCAAGGGGTCCAGATGCGATGCAACCTTTTAAAAATTGGGCTCCGGCCACCTCACTCACCAGATGAAACGCGAAAGTATTTGTCATACTTCCACTTTACGCCGGTCTTCTGTGAGGTCGTGGTACTTACCCCGACGAGCCTGTCCATTCGTGCATCAGCCGCGGCTGCGTTGCCCTACCACCGTAAAAATAATTTAAACGTAAGATAATTTGAACCAAATCTGTATATGGTGTAACCCCATATATTTTATGCAGTACATTCGTTGAATCGTTAGATGATATACCATTTTAATTGTCTTCACTTAACATGCGAATTGAAAGATAAGTGGCCTTTTATCGATCGAGCAAATATAAATCTACAAACACGATGAATGGGGAGCAATAAAATCGAGAATAAATAAAAACCTCATTTCTTGTACACACTTTAAAAGCGATATGGTGTCTTATCAAGATCGTAAAGTGATCGAGATTTTATTGCGTGACGTGTGGGCGCATAGTGTTGGTTATCGAAATCGGCACGCACTACCGTAAATTTCACCGAAACGCCCAGTCGATACAAATTAATTTGCAACGTTGGAAACTGACGTGCGTCCGATTGAAATGTTTATCTTGTTGTAGTTGTAGAGCCGCGGCTTATCCGCGCTCACATCGGCTGCAATTTGTCTCCTGGCGAATGGGTTGCCCTTAAATAAATCAGCAGGGCCGGTAGCCTGACCGGCGTTGGCTGTGTTTAACCACAACGCCGCCCGCCGACAAAGCGGCCGTACTAATTCCGATTTAATGCCCAATGGCAATCCGCCATCTTGTTAACTCGGCGGCTTCCGCCATTTTGTGTTTACTGCCGCCGCCGGGATTAGATAGTAATTCTGTTGGTGGGTTCAATTGACGCTGCGGGTGACTGCAATGACAACCATGCCTCGTTTTAACTGCTCTGTTGGATAAGCGATACGTAAAGGTTCTATAAAACATAAAATAGAATCATCACACGTGCTGGAATTGTTACATTGTGGTTCCCACACATCAGTCAAATTTATTGAAATACATATTTAAAAAATACTTTAAAATGAATCTTCGAAATTAATTCTATAATCGTCATGCGTTAGTTTTATTATTGCACCTGCATAAAGATCTCACCACACCATAGGTTGACTGGCAGAGAATGCCTAAAGGCATTAAGTCCGCCTATTGTATTCCGTATTAAAGGAAGTGTATTAAAGACTAAATAGTTTGGAGTTGGAGTTCAGGCTCGAATGCTTTATGCACGAAAAAGACTAGTGAGTCCGCTTACATTGTCCTCACAGTGATGAGGACTAGGTTTGAGAGAGAAGGCCGAATAAGATAAAGGCTGTTCGAAACGCAGAAGCCGGTGACAGCGGACCTGCGGAACAATCGGGGGCAAGAGACGTCGCAATCGGGCAGTAAAGCATCGCGGCGATTCACCGTCGATAATTATTCAAAAGCCCCTCCCGATATTGCCTCAGGCTGGCTCTCCGTCGCGGGCGGCACGGTACGCGAATCGAGGAACCAATTACGTAAGACCTACATCTTTTTGTCGATTTATCGTAGTAAAATCCCCTCGATGACAATCGCAATACAGTACGTATCATCATAAAATATAAAGTATTTAAATCATTATGACCACATGGGGCGTGTTTTTGGAGTTGTCCTTGCAAATTAACTTAAATTATAAGTCGCAAACTATCCCTTCCCGTCAGGATGTATCTGGATCGGCTGTGATCTTCAATAGAATATGATAATAGAAATAAAGGGCAAATACTTAAAAAACCCGTTGAGGGAAAGAAAATATTTAGTAATTAATTAGTAAAAAATTTAATTATATTATATTTGTTTTAGCCAAAACACTAAAAGACATTATTTAGAAGACATTATTAAGACTAGGTAATATTAGCTGTGCCTTCCAACGATGTTTTCGAATCCCGATATCCTAATGCTGAATATAACGTACATTTATTCATTCGTTATTCGTGAAATAATTACGCCGCCAAATGTACCTCGAAGGCCTCACCGCGTGTACCGCGCAGCCGCCTTATGGCTCCGTGCGAGCGGCCAAGTCGTAAATAGAGCAGTGTCACGCGCCCGTACATTGTACAAGCCACCCCGGGAGTCAAAACTAGCTGTTTGAATCAGTGCACCAACGTGATATGCTGCGTCAAGGAAATCCGCACTCTAACGCCACAAGATAAAGCACACATTCGCCCATCAAATGATAGTAAGACGTATTCCAACACGAAGGCATTCCCTGCCTTGGGATTTGCATTTTAAGTTGAATTTCGAACGTCCCACGAATCATAATTTCCAATGAAAAACAGCTATGGCCCTACAACTAAACGTCGTATGTGCTTATGACGTCTCGAGCCAATATAAATTCTATTCCAAATGAACACGATCGGTTTTGCCTCGTTGGAATCCCTTAACATAAGAAAGCACAATTAAGCCGGCACTGCTCGGATGAGTCATTCATTGCAAGAAATGGGATCCCTATGAGGCTCTATTGTTTTGATATTAATAAGATAATCTCGCTATGTACGGGTGTTTGTTTTTGTAAATTAAGATCTCTCGGAATTGTGTGCCGTTCGTAGAAAGATCGCGAAACGATGATGTCGCTTGTCTATTGTTGCATTATGTGTTGGATAGGGATGTGTCGCAACTTGCGGGGATATCGATATTTCGAATTCCTGTGGCGTGCGTGATTTCCTGTTTTTCTGGTTTCTCACACGCTCTATCTGTTGTGCCCTTTATATGGCGATAAAACATTTTTCGTTAGGGACTGGTGAGTTTAAGGAGAACTTATCTCTCGCAACCTTGCCCTATGTAAGATAGTCCAATTATCTCACGCTCAGTCTATCACTCAGTTTATCACTTGATCGATCAAAAATGGGTGGTAATCGCTTTTACATTTCAAAAGCAAAAGAGGTAAATCGGTGTATCACTACGTAGTATAAAACAAAGTCGTCCTGCTATCTGTCTGTCCCTATGTTTGCTCAGATCTTTAAAACTACGCAACGGATCTTGATGCGTTTTTTTACTAGATAGTGATTCAAGACGAAGGTGTATATGTATAATACATTGCACCCGTGCGACACCGGGGCGGGTCGCTAGTTCTAATATGAAGACGTATTATTAAATTGTTGGCGTTTTATTCGCGTAGATTAGAGACGAAAACTCAACTACTTACGGGGTTGTTTATATCATTAACGTGTATTTTATAAAAAAAAATACGGCGGGATATTAACATTAGCAGATTGTCTGTCCACTCCTTGGTTAAGAACGTGAGACCTGTTATACATGTGTCGCTGGCCAATTATTCAAATCGCATTTCCGTCGCATCGCGAGATCGGAATCGTTTCAATATGGTGCCCATCGCTCATTAGGTTCCCAGTGCCGGGTCGAATGCCTCTGCGACCTGGGCTATGATCATTTAACAGGGTTACCGCGCCCTTGCCGTTACAATAACCAACCTTACCGAAATCGACCTTACCGTCCACGCTTTTGAGTCGCTAGTCGACTGCAGCTAGCTTCCTCCTTAAAAAACGCCGCGAACACTGGAGATTGAGCCGTATGTCAATCAGTTAAGGTCGGCTATCCAACGGCAGGACGTCGCTAATGCGAGCCGGACATCGTAGGGTGGTACAGATAGTATCCGATGACCCGAGGGCTTTGTTTAATTGCGGAATACTTGGTTCGATTATGCAACTGGATGGTTTCGAGTGCAGCGCAGGTCGTGTATAACTGGTGTTTCGTTATGTCACCGACTGCCCTGCACTATTTCAGCCACGAACCGGAATATGAATCAAACGGCCGAGCTATGACAAGAACGTATTTATGACCTATCTGCTAAGCCAGACTTATAGGGTTACATATAGTTTGTCAGTCATATGTTTCAAATTGTCTACGAGCATCCAAGTTCAAATCCCTGGTCAAACCACACGAGCTCATTAGAACAACAAGTATACATTGCAGCTTTTGGTCAACATAGCATGAATGTGGGCATTATTTTCTTCTTAATCACACTACTGTAAGGTGTCTTATCCAGGGCACAAATATCCGATACAGGCAGAAACGATTATTTTATACCCTTCATAGACGCCTTCATTTCATCAACAGAAAGATCTATGTATGCATGTCTAATTTTTACCATTTTTAATCTTCATTTATGCACGCGGCTCTTTTATCTAAAGGCATATCAATTCCGGCATCCGATTAAATTACTTATATTACGAAATTCGTTAATACACTTCGCCGGGAATCAAACTCACGACCCCATGCCGCGCAACCGCACCTAACTGATTACTTATACGGGCAATCGAGACGCGATGTGCATCGCCGAGCGCAGTGATAGCGCGGTAACCGGGTTCGATTTCCGCGGGTGGTGGGCGTGCGGCGGGCCCATATAAATCGTGGACGGTAGGTAGGGGTGGTCCCATGGCAAGCCCGGGTGGTCACCGTCGCGACGCCCTCTCGTGACTGACAAATTGGAGATAATTCTCGTTCGTTACCGTTCATTGTTGTACCAGCCGACCGCCGCGTGGCCTGTGCTCTTACGATTTATTCGTCTAGACCCCTCTCTGTTTATGGGACGACTTGTTTTTTGTAACAGAATGTGACAAAGGTTTAAGTGATTCTTCTGGAAAGCGGCACAATATGACAGTCGCCACTCATGAACAAATAAATAAAAGTAAAGTTTTTAGTAAAAAGTTGTTCACACTATTCTTGAAGACATTCACATATCGATGACATGGATAGATGGTTGCAGTCTGTACTCCTCTGTTCAACACCATAAATATAAACAAATATACACGTGTAAAATATGCCCGTGTAACCATGAATAAGCAGATGCGTGTGTCTTGATTTTAAAACGAATGATAAAAAATGCGTAAAGAATGACAAACACCGAAAACTAAGATCAGCGATTTGTCGCATCGCAAATCTTTGCGAGCCGAAAATCGGTACCCCAAAGTTGGTTGCATTTATTCAACATTCTCCTTGCTCCAAATTGTCATCCCATCAACGTCCCATCATGGGGACGTTTCAACAAAGGCCGATAACCATCGTCCGCGATGCTATGCGGGCCCCAGCGCCGTCACGCTTGACGGGAAGCGCACCCGTTCGCCATGGGCACAGTGAAAGCGATGCTATCGCGGCGCGTTATCCCTCGCTCGTGTCGCGCGATCGTCCGATTGTCGCCGCAAAGACGCCGCCAGGTTTGTACTTCGCCGCGCACGATCCGTTCCCCAGCTTAATATTCCCTGATAGAAGTCGCGCGCGGTGTCGCCGATTCCCGCTCTCCGTGGACACCGGCCCTTTTGTCTTTTTCGAAGGCAACCTTTGAAGCGTATGCTAATTAAAAGCAGTAAGCTAGTCACAATAAGCACAATGTAATTCAAATATTTATTTAAAAATTTATTGTTAAAAAGAGTATAATTGCTTTGTTTGTTTATTGCCACGCCTATGGTTCATCAATCTAACAAACTGAACTAAATGGAGCAACATATTAGCAAATTCAGTTTATATCTTTTGGGCTAATATAAGCTACCCCTATACATATAACATAATATTTATTAAATAGCTCGAAAAGTGTAAAAGTAGTAAATTAAAGTAACAGCCTATACATGTCCCACTGCTATGCAAAGGCCTCCTCTGTACACAGGTTATTAAAGCATAGTACAGCACGCAACCCCACTGAGGATTGGCGGACTTCACTTATTTTCGAAATAGTATTTTTTTTTATGTTAGAAAGTGGAAAACGAGCTGGCGGTTCACTTGATGTTAAGTGATAACCGCCTGCCCATGGACATTTGCAACACCCGTAGGGTTGCAGATGCGTTGCCACCTCTTAATAATGTGGGCCCCGGCTACCTCACTCACCAAACGAAACGCAGAAGAACGAACGAAAGAACGACGAAGAAAACGCAACACTTCTACTTTACGCCGGTCTTCTGTGAGGTCGTGGTACTAACCCGGACGGACCTGCCCATTCGTGCACCAGCGAACACTGTTGCGTGGCCCTAACACCGTTAGGTTCCGTACCTTAAAAGTTAAAAAAGGGAACCCTTTTAAAATCACTCTCTTATCCGTCTGTCTGTCCGTGCGTTACCACCGATTCTCTCAGAAAAAGGTTGACCTAGCTAGTTGAAATTTTATAACTTTATGGCGTTTGAGCTGAAATCTGTAATTACTTTAAGTCTTATCCACTGCTTCTTTTCCGTCCCCTTAAGCATTGACATGGAAATCTGCTAAAGCTACTTTAGCCTGCAAGCAAAATCCACTCAAGCGTCCGTAGTGTGGTGACCCTACGGCGGTGGTACAGATAAAAGAGCGAACATTTTACGTACACGCGCCGCTTATCGCGGCAGGGACACGGGGCCAGTTTAGCCGGCACCGTTTAGTATGCGAAAACGCGACACGAGTGACCCAGTCGCATGCCGATGCAATCAGAGCCGAACGCAAGGCGGTGCTAGCGTTTCGGGACGCTCAGGTCCAAAATATAGGTAAGAAAACCTGGATGTATGACAAGAGACCAACAGGACGTCAGGTGGCAAACGTCAAGCGAGCGGCTTCTGACTTCATTGATCACCCAAGAAAAAAATTAATAGGGTTGCAAGCGCCAAACTTTGGGACTCTTATCATTTGCAAAATATACAATCCATGTTACTAATCCTGGGCTTAGTACTTCCCGGTGGAACAGGCATATCCATGAACCAGCAGAAGTCGCGATGTGCCTTTAACTCACTTTTAGATTTCTGACCTTCACGAATTGCCACTCATAATTGAGTTCTTTTTAATTTACTTCTTTAGGAATAACATAAAGTTGCATAGGACAGGAAACTACTAGAAAACGAAGATTTCCTTAACAGACCAAAACAAACAGCGTGTAGATGTAGAAAACTATATAGCTACTCGATGGAATTGCTCTCTAATGCTAGTGATAATGTTCTGTAAAACACCAACCACTCCAAGTTGAAGTTTTTGATACGTTTCGATTGCTGGGAATCATACAGATTCCAAAAAAATCCTTGGGCACCTTAATATAAGACAAGACGATATCGGAGAGAAACATATAAAATTCCGCGTATTATTTCTTGGCTGGTTTAAAAACGCAAAGATATGAACGTCTCGATATGACTAACGGAGGATGTGTGCAGGGAAGAGAGACGCGGATGTCAAATATTTGAACGGGGCGGCGCCGTCGGACCACGGCCACGGGTCGTTTATTACGTGCTTTGTGACGAAGACAAACTCCACTTTCCATCGTTCACTGCGGTTTTTTTTCTGTAACTTATAGTGACAAACCCGTTGACTATCCGATAGTAAATAGACGGCGATGGTATGAGTCGTCACTTGAGGATATTGTCAGTGATTCTTTCGTAAACGCAATAGAGAATTAATTTGCGAGAAGCATTTGTTTCTTTAAACTTAAGTTATAAAAGGTCATTTAAATAGTTACTACTACTGGTTGCTTGAATAATGCTAGTTGAGAAGTATGTCCAACTTATTATGTCTACGTGAATAGTATACACAATTAGCTACAAGTTTAACATGAATTGCGCAAATAAATTCGCGAGAAATTACATTTGTCGCGTTCACTTTTATTACAACTATGTATGTACGCACATGCATAAGGCATACACTATATGGAGCTTTCATCCGGTCCTCTCGGATCAAGGCGCTGATCTAGTTGACGATCGCTATCTCACGATTTCTTCGACGAAATAAATGATCAGATGTTCGTCGTCGATTTCTTATGCTCATGCGAAACCTTCGAGTAGAATGGGAACGTTTCTAGAGGCGTAATTGGATTATTTAACTTTTACGGAATTCCAGCAAAAACAAAAAAAATGAAAAAGGACTACTCTATACAGGTTTTATGGCATAGCCTACCAGGCGACACCACCGCGGATTTGCGGAACTCAAGTATAGAAATATTTTTTGACAAAGCAGGTTTCCTCACGATATCTATTATGATATACAAGAAACTTATAAAAGAAGATATGAAGGAGTATTACGACACGGACATTTATCTAGGGATATTGAATAAGTAAAAATCATTTTAAATGTAGATACGATAGCATGAATATGGTTGCATTCAAAAAACGAAGGAAATCATTTTGAAAATTCGCTAACAACAGACACATCCAGAAATAAATATTCGTAACACTCTTTAGCCGTGATAGCTCAGTGTCCGGGCGTTCGCCTTTAATTCAATATACTCGAGCAACCTGAGTTCGATACCCGGTGCCGGCACCAATGAAGTTTTTAACTTTAAGTGCTGTCTTATCACGTGCTCCGCGATGAAGGAAAACATCGTGAGGAAACCTGGCATATTTTCGAAAATAATAAAAATATTCGAAGATATGTGAAGTCCGCCAATCCGCGGGGTGGGGCCGCGTGGTGGACTATGCCCTGATACCCTCTGTATAGAGGAGGCCTTTGCCCAGCAGTGGGACATGTATAGGCTGTTAATTTTACACTCTTTGGAGGGTCGTAAAAATCCTGTGAAAACTATGGTTCTGCGGACTGTTTCCTATGAAGCTTTGTTCATTCATGGAAGTAAATAGAAAGCTGTAATAACATTGTAAGAAAAATCAAACAAAGAAGTATAGTAGAAGTGCCGAGACGTATAAACGAAATTATCTCTCCTCTTCGACAAGCAGTGGAACAATAATCGTGGTCCATCGCGATACGCACGCGGTTCGCGACGCTATCAGTGTTCGAACAACGTTCCAACAGATGTCGCCGATGCATTGTGCTGTCATAATAATTACATTTGCTGCTCCTAAGGGCTAAATAACTACTGCCATCTGCAGGGCAGTGCTCTCGCTAATTTCACAACCTGGCCGGGATACCTTGTCGTTTTTCTTAAATACCGATGAGCACGCGAAGAGTTCGCGTTTTCCCAAGTGCATGTGTCAATGTGTCTAATACTTATTTATTTATTTATTTATTTATTTAAAGAACGCCAACATAATGTACACTACTTAAGACTTAGGAAAATAAATATACATCAACTGTTCATTAGTGTCATTACAATTAAAGGCGCTGACAGCATTCAATATAATGGGCGAGAAAAATACAGTTAAAGATATTTTTTTTTTTGTTACAAAATCCAAAATTAAAACAAGAATTAATAAATTAAAAACAAATAACTGATAAAGGAAATAGCGGTAAAAAACATTAAAAACAGTGATAAACAATGAATTTAGGTATGATTATGATGATGAACAGTGCAATAAATTTAGGCATGATTTATACATGGACTAATAATACTATTTAAGTTTCTACAAGTACGTGGGGAGATGACAATAAACAGTGACAATAAACCAGGCGAAAACAGTTGAAATGAGTAACAACAATCTGTGATTATTAAAGTAATATAGTACTTTCGGAAAATAATTTTAGCAATTCTTTCTTTAGCTTGGCGGCACTATCTGAAAACAAGTCCGATGTAGAAGTTCTCGAAATATTATTGTAATTTCTAACCATTCTGTTTAAAGGCGCTCGCTGTCCAAGGTTGGATTTACATGAACAGTTCGAAAAAATATTAAATCTAGAGCGTCGGGGCAGCTTTGAGGGAACGGTAAAGTTTAAAAGGGACAGCAAATAAGGAGCATCAATAATGCCATTGGCAAGCTTTTGCAGGAAGAGAATTTCGAGCATTGCCCTTCTATCGCTCAGAGAACTCATTCCGAAATGTTTCAGTCGATCAGAGTATGACGTAATGGTTTTCCCCAGATTACAAGAGTAAGTCAGGTGCCACAGAAACCTTTTTTGAACGCTTTCCAGTCTTTTCGCGTAAACGTTATATTTAGGATTCCAAACGACGTTCCATTCAAAACGTTATACTTAGTAAATAATGGTGTTCAGTCGTTTAGCTTAGTGGTTAAAGCGTCAGGGCGCGAAACGCGAAGACGTTGGTTCGATTTCGATCGAAAAACTTTCGTACTTTTTTCAAATTTTACAAATTTTGGCGCTATCCGCCTTTGACCGTCTAGTCTGGTTGTAAAGTAAAAATTAACAACCTATACATGTCCCACAGCTGGGCGAAGGCCTCCTCTGTATAGAGTATTAGGGCATAGTCCACTATGCAACCTAACTGCGGATTGGAGGACTTATCATCAAAATATTTTTTGTTATTTCCAAAACACGCAAGTTTCCTCAAGATGTTATCCTTCACAGCTGAGCACTAATTGGAAGTCAGCACGTAATATTGACAATTTCGATTAATTTATAGCATTACAGCACTTAAAATGTATTTTAAAATTTGTACAAAAATGCTTAAATGCAACAAAAGTATATATTACGTTGGGGAAAAACTCTTTTCGCAAATAC